TACTGGAGAAGATGCGTGGATGATCAAACCAAAAGATAAACACAAATAATATGTATTTTTTTTAATATTTTCTTATTCTTTTTGATGTAATTTTTTCTAAGAGAGTAAATAAAATTGGATATATTCATTTTTTCTCATTTCTTCAATATATAGAAGTTAGCAAATAAACCTATAAATATGTCATTCAACGTTTTGTATTTCTTTGCATCCATAGCTTCTCAAAAGAGATAATTTTCAGAAAAACTTCTTTCAGAGCCTTTGTGATACCCTTCTTCGTTTTTTTTTCAAAATTTTTGTATCACTCTTAATACTACAACGCTTGTGACGCGTATCACATTTTTACAATGCTCTGTACACAAACTGAGAAAATACTATGAACTTCTCAAAAGTTTTCCAAACAACTGCTCGAAAAACGATCAGCCTGAACTTTTTAGAAGTTGAAGGAAAATTATTTTACTTGAGTCTGCAAGCAACTTCGATTGTCAAAAAGTATAAAGGCGTTTTATTCCTTTTTTGAATTTGTTGTTTTTTCGTGTAGGTTCCTTTATATGCTTTTTACTTTTAATACGAGCAAAGCGACGTATTAGAACTTGTAGATAATGTAACTGAAAAAGAAAACTCATAAAATGTAAGTTTGATTTTTATATAAACGTGAAAATAAAAGAAATATTACTTATGACTTTAGTTATTAATCATATTCATATACATTTTAAAATAAAAGAAACTAATGTTATTGAACGTAAAACAAAAGTAGTTCATCGTATCAGCTAGGTAAACATGATATATGTTCCATTACACAAATGTTGTTTTTAGATTTGAAAATGAACATGAAGTGAAACTTGTTAAACTCTTGGTAAAAGTCTCGGATGAGCTCATTGAACTAGCTACTGAAGCAAAACAAATATCAGCAATCTAATATTTCTTTTTGCTGCCTGTTTTATGATACTCATTAATATATACTCAAACTTTAATCTTTTTTTTATGATAGTTCATTGGTTTTTCAGGTGTGGATGTAGACGAAGAGACCAATGTCTAATATTTTTACTCCACACGTACACCCATGCTCATGTTCTACCCAAGTTGCTCAAAATATGAAACTTTTCTCATTTTGGATGAGTCATAAAAAATTATGTGCTCTATGTCTATGTTTTAAGTTGAAACTTCTATGGTGGCTATAACTCATGAAGAGATATGGTAATAAAAAGATTTCAGCTGAATCAGTCATTCTGTTCTTAGGATATAGTCCTGTCAGGACCCCTCCCCTTGGTTCAGATACTGACTTTTCGTGCTTTTCGTAAAATAGCCATAAAAATTCAACGGTTCAATACTTTTTCAAAATGTCTTGCGTCAAAGCTCAAAAAACTCTTCCCTCTATCAAAGTATCTTATATCAAGCAAAATGCAAAGACCTTGTTTAAGCAGTTCTGGTCGTTACTTACGTTGAATGGCTCGTATCAATATGAAGTAAGTGCTTCTCGATATCGAAGTTGATTAATGTTATTGATAGAGGATATTATTGATCAAGTATGAAGTAAATTAAGAGCTTTTGTCAAATTTATTCGATCAGTCATCATATTTTTCAATAATCTCATTAAAAGCAATATGACAAAGACCAAATGTATACTTCATTAAATGTATTATACACATCTACTAACAGTTAAGTACGAATACATAAGAGCAAATTTTTATCAGAATTATTGATATTGAATTTTAAACGTCAACATTAAACGACTTCATGTAGATTATATATTTGTACACAAAGTTTTAGAGAATATGTTTGAAATTATAGTGAGTTAGGTAATGATCTACGTTTTAGCACATTGTACTTGACATATTAATCAACAAATAGAAATATATAATTTAATTTCAATATTTAAAGTATTGTATTTATTTGAGTAGTACAATATCTTGATTCATTTATGGATCAAAATTTAAACAATGAATAGCATAATCAATATAAATATTTTCATTATTCTTTAGGTATAATGAAGTTGGCATTATATATTTCATTGAAACATAATTTATCAATCTCTATTATTGACGTGGCCTATTTAGCCAACTAGTTCCGTAACATTGAATATATTCAATAAATGTTTATAATCAGCTTAAACATAAATATTTTGCTTCTTGAAATTACAAATTCGAGGAATAAATAACACTAAAGTCGAAAATGAAAACGTCAGGAAAATTTGAACCTGTATTCAAATACTACGAACAATATATTAATAAATCTTGTAAAATTGATAGTCTTGAAAATATCAGATAAAAAGATGCTCAACATCACAATATTTTTACATTTTAATGTCTACATTAGAAATTTAGTATATTTATTGAAATGTTTATTACTTTTTAATAGCTTAGAATACTTAGAACGAAATAACCTATAAAGTTCTCTTGATCAGTATGTTTCAATAATTTCAACTATATTTCAAATAATTTCTGCGAGATTTTAGTTTTACTTAATTTTCAATCAAATTTTTTTCATTTGTTAACTTTGCACCAATTCATATTTGTTCAATTTCTTTTGAATGACGTCAAAACATTTCAATTTATTCTTCATATTAGTAATTAAATCTGCCAGAAAATAGAAAAACGAAGCCAAATAGACACATTTGTAGTTGAACATAAATTATCCATGTATATAACACGGCACCAATAATGAAAAGAACCAACAAACAAAAACAAGAGTTTCATAGATTCACTCAATTGATAGAAAATAAAGCAGTGAACGTAAGAAGAACATAAATATATAGAACAAATGTCGTTGAATGGTGTACGAAGAGTATATATATGATGAAACGTGTTTGTTACACGTGCCTATATCTTAGGTAAAAAGAATTTGTCTATTCTCAATATAAAAAGAATCTATATAACTGTTCATACTTTTATTTATTTATTGATGAGAAGAAAAAGCACTTTTATTCTCGATGTGATTTTACAGTGGTTTGCAAAAAAACTTGGAACAAACATTTGGCTTATATTAGTACCTGAGTTAATCGTCTTGAAAAATATGTTTCGTTATTTCGTACGCAATAGTTCATAGTTTAACAACATCCCGTTCAGTATTGTGTTCTCTCTTCTTTTACTTCAAAAACTTAATTGCATCTTTTTTTATGCGATTTGCCAAACTAATTACAACTTATTTTTTCATATGAGTTTATTTTTAGTTTGTAAAAAGTCTTCAGTTTATTTGTATTTTTTAATTTTCTTTTTTCGACTCTATGTTTCACACATTCTAAATATTTTCAATGGGATTAATATCCGGGTTGTTGAGTGACCAGTTTAAAATATGAGAAATAGTAGTGACGACGAGTATTTCTCATATTTTAGACTGGTCGTCAATCAGCACGAATTCCAATGGAACCGAAAATGATTGACATATTATGAAACAATAAAGAGACATTAGTTTGGTGACTTTTTAGTCGATTCATCGATCGCGACTTTGTAATTTCACGTCATGAACTGATCTCGTACTCGACTGTATGTAGTATCAATCTTACGGTTGTCCATAATTTATCCGTTCGATAGTTTAAAGAACTTTGGTACCTGAGCTGTCCCAACTGATAGGTAATTGTAGGCAAAAGTGTGTTTGTAGCCTGATGGTTTTTTTCTGCCTCAACGAATTTCCTTACTTCAAAAATATAATAGAGAAATATGCTATTTTTTCGTATTGTTTGGCTTTACCATATCGAACTCTGCTCTAATAACGAAAAAACACACATCAATAAAGTAAATGAATATGTTAAGTAGATAACCTACTAAATATAAATCTACGATAACAGCAAAAGATGCCCTCCAAAAAAGCTAGGAAATATTAAATCTTGGTGTTGACAAATTGTTCCAAGTTTTTTTGCAAATCACTGTATATGTTTTATTTGAAGATTGAAGGTATAGAGTGATTTAATTATTTATTAGTTTCGAGTAAGTCTTTGACTCATCGACATATACTTATGTTAAATAGTACTTAACGTATTTGTAATCGATTTTTAAGTAAATATACATATTTACAGTATTTATAGTACAACGTTTTGTTAATCGATAGAATAATGTTGAGTAATTTAGATTCATAAGAGTTAGAATGATGGAAGGAATTTTTTATGTTTTAGAATTTAACTTTATTCTCTAAGTTTATTCAACTTGTGTCTCATTGTATATGAGTTCGAAATGAAGCTCATTCATAACACAAAAAAGAAGTTCATCATATAAATAAATCAATTTATAAAATTAAAGGATAGAAAAGAAAGTGATATTATCTATTAAATATTATTTTTTGTTTTTCAATCAAATATGATACAAAATAAAAAATATTGTCTCAATATTAGTATTAATAATGATTATTTTTATGATTCTAGATTAATTATAGAATACGACCGTAACAAAATAAAATATTAGTCTAATGGCAGAAACATTTGGAAGAATACTAAGACCATTATTACCAGAAACAAAGAAAATCGAAGATCTTCCACTTTCAGTCACATCAAACACGAAAAGAGATCCTAACAATACTATGAAGGTGGTTGCTTGGTGAGGAAAGAAAAATTTATCCGTTGAAGATATGCAATTACCATTGATCACAGATTCAAAAGATGCTATTATTAAAGTTACTAGTGTTGGAATTTGTGGTTCTGATCTATAGTTATATCATGAAGAAATCAGTGGTATGCATCCAGGAGATGTTCTAGGTCATGAATTTATGGGTATTGTCGAAGATATTGGAAACGATGTCAAAAATAGTAAAATCGGTTAACGTGTTAGTGTAAGCGCAGTCATTGCTTGTGGTTACTGTGAATATTGCAAGAAAGAACAATATAGTGCTTGTGACAACACTAATCCAAGCAAATCCATGAAAGCACTTATTAGTTATCGATGTGCTGATTTTTTTGGATATTCTCATTAAGCAGGCGGTTGTCAAGGTGAACAAGCACAATTTACACGTGTTCCATTTGCTGCAATGTTAATTTACTTTCTGTGCCCAATAGTGTTACTGACGAACAAGTTGTTATGTTGTCAGATATTGCATGTACTGCTTGGCATGCTATGGAATTAGGAGAAGTCAAACAAGGACAAACTGTAGCATTATGGGGTTGTGGTCCTGGAGGACTTATTGCTATTATGTGGGCTAAACATCGAGGCGTCAAAAGAATTATTGCTATTGATCATATACTAAAACGATTAGAAAAAGCATATGAATTAGGTGCAGAAACTATTAATTATGATGAACAATTAGTTATTCCAACAATGTTAGAAATTTGTAAAGATGGTCCAGATGTATGTATTGATGCAACAGATTTTCGATATGCAAAAGAGACAATACATAAAATTGAACGTTTATTAAGATTAGAAACAGATGCAACATCTGCAATTTTTGACGCTATTTATTTGGTTAAGAAATTTGGTAATATTAGTGTTATTGGTGATATTATGGTCTTACTAATCATTTTCCAATTGACGCATTGTTTGATAAAGGTATTACATTTTGTGCAGGTGTTGTATGTGTTCAAAAATACTAGAAATTATTATTACAATATATTTTGGATGAACAAATCGATTTAACTAAAGTTATAACACATGTTTTGTCTTTAGAAGAAGCTCTTCTTCGATATCAATTATTTGATGAAAAAAAGAATGATCGTATTAAAGTTATTTTAAAACCTCATATAGATTCATTTCAATAGAAATCAACTTAATATTTTTGAATTATTTTTCTATATTTTTATGTCAGCATATGTTCGATATGATTATTATTATTATTATATAAGCTCGTATTATGATTTTTTTTCTTTTGTATAATTTGAAACTTCTTTTAAGTAAAAATATATCTTAGAATTCTAGAAGCTATATGGAATGATATCATCATTAGTATATTGCAGTTTAAAACATACTATTCATATTTTTAACATGAATATCATAGCAAAGCTAATGAGAAAATAAAATATTTCAAAACAATAAAAAAAAAGAACGTTGAAAGAACTTTTATTATCAATGTATTGAAGATAATAGAAATAAACAACCTATAATAGGTTTTGTTGGATCTTAATCGATCATGAAATTATAATATGGTTCTAAACATAATACAAAGACAATATAGTAAATATATCGAATATTCTAACAAATTCAATTGTAATCGTTAAATAATGTTGCTAATAAATGATAAGTTCCTATTGACTAGTCACTTATTTTATGTCAGTAAATAGTTCGAATGTTAAGGAGGAATGGATCATTACCCATATGAAATACCATTTTTATCATGTAATCGATTCGAATTATTTCATTCTTGATGTTTAGACAAGCAAAGAAAAACAGATGTCAAATGAGTATTGAATACTTTAGCTAATTCATTAGACTATTTCATAGCTACTAAAGTGTTTGAATATTAGATCAACGTCCAAATTAAATGTGTCCCATGCACCCAAATTGTCCAAGAACACAGAACAATTAATCAAAACCGACATAAAATGAATAAAATAACTTTTTAGAAGTTCCGAATGCTCTTTATATACGTTGCATATCAAGGTACTGACTATGCATTCTGTTATTGTTAGTCATTACCGGTGTTTGTCATTACTGAAACTAATTAATGGAAAAAAAAGTACACACAATATAAAATAAACAAGTAAATGTTCATAAATTGTTATAATAAAATATTTGTTGTACATAGACCAATTATTAGTTACAGATTATCGAACACTCTTATGTATGTTATTCATGACCAGAACTAAAGTTATATAAGTTGTAAAAGATCTTGTATGTTTTTATCGTATTATGCAACAAAATATATTGTCTACTGTCCAATGATGTATCCTTATCTGTTAATGATATGAGTGCGATTGAACTGTAATATTATCATTCCAATAAAATATTAAAAAAAATAGCGGTTTTTTCAAAAAGCTTGCGTTAGAATGCTAAAATCATTCAATTCTTATTCCCTAAGACTTCCATTTTACAATTTATTTACTGAGCCTGACAAATTGCAAAGTATTACAATAAAAACAAAAACATGTCTCATTTAGATAAATGAATATCTTATAGATGTTTTTGTCGCAGTCGAATTTGTATAAATGGGCTTCACAGATTTTTTTACACATTTTAAACGTCATATCTTCATAAATTGTCGTTGAGAAAAATTTGATAAGTGGCATATGGATGAATTTTCAAGACACATGAAAAGAAAATAATTTCCTCAAATAATGTTATATAAGTTAATTAGCTAACTATCAAATTTTTTATATTTCTATTTCAGATAAACTATTAATTTTTCTTTTTTTTATCTGTTCGAGTTTATCAAAACAGAATCTAAATATATGCGTCTAGTTAACTATTCTCTCTATGAACAAATATCACAACTTTTATTAAAATGTGAAGATTAAAGCATTTATTGCTATTTCTCACATTGTAGTAATATATAGAAACAGAACATTAAAAGCTCTTTAAAACATAATTAAATTATATAAAGCAAACGGTATTTCGTTTTAGCATTTTTCGTTAGCGATCTATAGGACTACCCTACTCTACAGGGTAGGATAAGGACTAAGAGAATTTTTCTCAATGAAGGAACAGTATATGATAAAAGCTTATTCTGCAGACCTCTATTTTTCGTCTTGTATCGAATATTAATCAATGGCTTTATCATTATTTTGCACGACACAATTCTTAACATCGGTACCATTGCTGATACTATGAATGGATTATTAGCAAGTGTTTAGTATCATGTTTTGTGTTACATATGTCACTTGTATAATCATAAAAAAGTTTAATTCTTCATTGTTAGTCTATTTCCCATTTGAAACTTTTCATTCAATGAATAATTCGTATCGAACAAAAAAGAATCAATATCTAGACGATATTTATGCTTTCAAATAATACTGAACAATGATTATTACGAAACAATTTTATTTTTCTTCGATTGATAATGAAACTTTTTGTATTTTTATATTGAATAAATATAAAATAAATTTTCTTGAATATATGGTATATTCGAAGAAATTTGTGTGCAAAACAGAAACGAATAAATTTTAAGACTATTTAGAATGCAATCTTATTTCATATTTAAACACAGTGATTGAATTCGACAAGACGTACCGCTTTTTGAATAAAGCCAGAAAAGTCTGAAACAATATTCTCAGCAAATAATAAATGTATATAATCAATTTTTTTTTACTAAAGAAGAAAAAGAAAAAAGTATGAAGAGAAGGTAAATTTATTCTTTTTTGAAAGTTCAATTCACTGGATGTTTACGAGATTTTAAATCTTCACCTAGGGGTGACCCTTTATCTTTACTTTCCTTTATAATAAAGCATAAAGATAAATGAATCCGTTATCTTTATTTTCTAAAGATAAATGATCCTTTATTTAAAAAAGTAAAGGATACCCTTTTTCTCTAATCATTTATCTTTAGAAAATAAAGGTAAAGGAATCATTTATTTTTATAAAATAAAGGAAAAATAAAGGAATAAAGGGTTATTATTTTTCGAACGAAATAGGGCTAAAAGTGTTCAAGGATTATTGGAACTTGCTTTGGAGAACATTTTTATAATTGAACGAATCTGTTTTGACAGAAATAAAATGTCGAACGCGCAAAATAAATTGCAGGTTTTTCATTAATATTTAGTGGATTTTAGCTAGAAAAATAGAAACTGAATTAAAACTAATATCATATTTTTAATTAGCATAAAAAAATAAGCAAACTTATGAATGTTTCGAATGCTTTTTAGATATCTCGATTTTTATCGAAAAATTTGCCTTGGTACCCCTCAGGATTCTGGGAACAAAAAAGTAGACTTGACGAAGATGTAGTTATAATCTGTTAACACATACTCATTATGTGTGCCGCTATCATTTTACAAGTTTAGGGCATGTTGGTGCCTGTCGAATTTCATTTTTGATGAAGTCCACTTTTTTGTTTCCAGAATCCTGAGGGGTACCAAGGCAAATTTTTCGATAAAAATCGAAATATCTAAAAAGCATTCGAAACATTCATAAGTTTGCTTATTTTTTTATGCTAATTAAAAATATGATATTAGTTTTAATTCAATTTCTATTTTTCTAGCTAAAATCCACTAAATATTAATGAAAAATCTGCAATTTATTTTGCGCGTTCGACGTTTTATTTCTGTCAAAACAGATTCGTTCAATTATAAAAATGTTCTCCAAAGCAAGTTCCAATAATCCTTGAACACTTTTAGCCCTATTTCGTTCGAAAAACAATAACGCATTATTCCTTTATTTTTCCTTTATTTTATAAAAATAAATGATTCCTTTACCTTTATTTTTTAAAGATAAAGGATCGTTTATCTTTAGAAAATAATGGTAAAGGAATCATTTATCTTTAGAAAATAAGGATAAAGGATCCATTCATCATTATTTTTTAAAGTAACATTAAATGACCACCCCTATCTTCACCTGAACAATATTTGTATTCAACATTGATAATATAATAAAAAAAAATGACATTTTACAATCCGAATTCATATCAATTGAGTAATTTCTACTAAATAAATATATTAACTGTACATCATAACATCATTGATTATTTTCCATTTCAATATCATTACTTTGTTAATTGTTCTGCTTAATATAAAAAAAAACAATAAAATAGAACTTAATGATAACAACAATTTATAATAGTTTAAAATAAATCAATCTGTCTGTCTGTTTGTTTTAATTATTTTCTGTCATCTTAATGAAACTATTCTTTGTTATTCAATGAAAAAGTATCAATATTGATACGGATCAATTGTTCATGAATGAAATTGAATCAACGTAAGAATCTTTTCATTGCTATTGAATTGTTATTTATATTCAGAACTATTTAGATTTTAATTCTGTTTTCAACGGAATCTATTAAATTTATCTTAGAATAATCATATGTATGCTGTTTTTTATTTATTTCTTCAATGAGTATAAAAAATCTCAATGATATTGAAAGTATGCATAGAAACAAACGTAATATCGAATTGATTCATACGACGTGACTTAATCTAAATAATTTTATTATGTTTAATCCTTTATCATAAATCTTTTGATAAAATTATTTGAATGACATAGATCAGATTTTTTTTTACCAATAAAAATCCATTGAATTTATACTATTCATTTGATGTTTGAATAGAAAGTCAGATAACAATATATCTATATACTTCATATAAATAGAATTAATTAAATAATTGTTTTTTTTTCTGTCAGTTTTTACTATTGAAAGTCTTCTATAAAACAAATTTATTGAAAGTGACCAATTTGTTGAATGAAACTAGTGAACAATATAAATTCAATAATATATTTTTATTATTTCATCTAAAATATTCTTAAAAAGTTCTATTATTTTTCAAATTGATTCTATTAATGTTTTTAAATACAATGATAATAAAATAAGACGTATAAATCAAGTATATAAATATTTATTTAAATCCATTCGAGAAATTCAAATTTTTGTTAATTAGATATGTTTGATCATAACTTGAATTTATTTAATGTTCATAGAACTTGATTTATTAAATTATTAAAATTAAAAAAAAACATCGCTATTTGAACAAAATGACTAGTGAATATGTTTGTCGTTGGATAAGATAGATATTTCAATTATTGTTCATAAGAGTTATAATCTGATTGAATTTTTGAAAAAAGATCATTTATTTCAGTAACGACTTTGGTCTATATTAACAATGTTAATATAAGAAAA